CTTAATTATAACAGTATTTCCAGTTTTAGTCAGTGGAAAAATTTATCAGATTTTCGGAAGTAGGCGCCTCTCGGTGCGGTGGGTTTTTGATACTTAAAAAGTACTACTACTACTACTACTACTACTACTACTACTACTACTAATAATAATAATAATAATAATAATGATGATGATGATAAAGGAGTTTTTTCACCGATTCCAAGTATTAGCTACCTTAGCAGTACAACCCCTTTTACAACGATAAAGGTATCGCAGAAAAAACATTCGGGAATGCCAACGAGGTGATCGCAAGGCAATGAACAAACAACTACAAGGTAATCCCCTTAAACTTGATAAAAAATTTATCATAAACATGACATGCCTGGTAAATGTCTTGACGCTGCGTGTGATAATTCGATTTACTCTCAATCAAGAAACTGTTTTAAAAGGGCCTCACGCACAACAGAAGTAGAAGTAACAGCAGGGAACTGCAGGGCCGAGAAGGTCTCAGGGTGAGTTCAAGTTAGGTAAGACAATGTATAACTTCTACAACGCAGGCTGGATCTTTGTAAAGTAAGGCGGAGGTATCCTAGGGCAGAGCACTCCAGTTAAGGTGAACCGCGTGAGTAACCTGCGTTCGAGGTTCGTGATACTTTGTAACGTCATTCTCGACCACAGGACTTATTATATTGCACTAGCACAGGAAAATAACATGTGCTTTGATTTCCAAGAGAAGACCTGACCTTGCAAATTATCTGTCTCAGTGTTTCCTAGAGACCCAGTCGTTAAGCAACTTGGCGTTCCTTTCCTTATTCAACAGCTGGCAAATTTCAAACAGGGCGAGATAAAGAAAATGAAAATACAACATGTACTGAAAAATATTTCTTTCGTTTAATATTGTCAAAATTATGATCAACACCTACAGTCAGAATGAAGAATGCGTACACTCCTTTTAGGAAAAGAAAACATTATACACGTAATATCGTAATAGATACAGGAATCAGCCTCCCCCAATTTTCCCATTTCCAAACACTAGAAATTTCGGCCATATTCGCCACCTAGGAAACACAAGGATCACGTGTTCCTTAAAAGGTTGATATGGTTTGTTTTGTTTCTTTAAGGTATCAAATTTTGTGGTATTTCCCTTCAGGCCTGTTTGGCATTTTTTAAACTGATACAAAAAAAATTATTGTAGAGGCTTGCTGACAGATCGGATACTTAAGTGGAGACACAATGTCCCCTTGGTAATTCTAGATGGCCATACTTTACACCCGCGCGTTGATTTTTACCGAGCAGGTATTCATTTTCTTCACTCATGACAAATGTCAAATCGTACTAAATGGTTTGAAACGCAAATCGCAGTATATGAAAAAACTTGTGAAAAGTGACGATTATCTTAGATAATTCTTTACCACTCTATCAGCATGTGAGCCCAGGTTAAGCCACATACTCTTGCAATCTCTCTTTAGATTTGTTGGGGCATATGTTGTTATGAAAACGCTCGGTCGATCGAGGTTGTTGGGAATAAAACGTACGGGGTATTATAAAAAGAGTAACCGGTCAGGTGTTCGCATGGCGCTGTTATCGCTGTTACTTCTTCAACTTTTCCAGGGTGGAAAACGGAAAGAATTCTTAGTCACTGTATATTTCTTATCCCAAAAAACATCTAAAAGATTCGTACTTTGCTAGGTTTGTTGTCATTCGAATTCCAAACCATTTAATCTAAACGAGGAACACGCATCAATCTATTAAAGTGTATAGTTTTCCTTTAATGTGTGAGCCATCCGATATGAAAACATAATAGTCTGCCACACGAATGGATCGAAACTCGATCCATGTTTTGTAAATCTAGTAATAACGACGATTATCTCGATATTGTAATTTTAATTCTATTTTAGGCAAGTTTGGGGAGTTGAAAGCTTAAACACGGAGGCTAGCTAAGGGACCAAACAACTCCTTCAAGCTTAAACGTGTCATAATTAATAGCCATACCTCATTTATTTATTATCCTTGAAAACCAAGTACGTTGATTGAAGGGTGTTCTTTGGTTGTCAGGTGACACCGATTCGTCAAAGGGACTTAACGCTCAAACGAGCAGCCGCCCCGCTAAGCTAAGGCTACACTGTACTGGTGGACAGACACTATCGGTTTCCAAAACGGACAAGTCACAAACGGTAAGATGTTCGTATTCTTTTCACCTTGTTATCGTCAATCTATAGCTGAGGTCCAGGATTTCAAGCTGGCGAAGTTGTTTTAAGCTACGCACGAAGGCGTTAGTAAGGAATATCACCTAACGGGTTTTGCATGCATATTATGAAACACGCAAGCTAAAACCACAGAGAGTGGGATCCCAAGGTTTTGTTTCAAGGTATTTACAATCATGTAGAAACATGACAACGCGACGGGGCCGAACTCGATTCAGATTTTAATGAAAAGACTACAGTGTCTTACAGTTGGTTTTTCTGCAAGCTTTTATTTCTCTAGACACGAAATCGTTGAATTAATCCCGACCATCTCTGGATTTCATTCACCTATCACTTCAATAGTCTGCCATTGTGGAGAAAATGATGAGCTCGATTTACTAAGGAAAAGCCAAAGCTGGGGTTTAATAGGGATTCCCAAATCTTTCAATATTATAGACTCTTTTCCTGTTGCAATATCCTGTTTACAATCATTCGCCATCCTATCAAAGGGAAGGTTGTTTTCGAATAACCAAGCTTCACTAGAGTCCCTTAACTAATGTTTCATCATTGGAAATTAGGGGTTCTGCAAAATCGGTGGTAGATGCACCGATGGTTACTAATAGTTTTGGAGTACCTTAGTCTGTGATAAGTTAGCAGTGTCTAATTCGCGGATTTGAACCTGTAGATCAGTTACGGAGCCGGGGTCAGTTGCGCGACATAGAGCCCGCAATTGCAGCGTGCCAACAGCCGAGCTTATTCACCCACGAAACTCACCCAAACACCCCAACAAACTCTCTTGACTTTTCACTTGAAGAGGCTAAAAATTATCTACAACGACAAGAAGGAAAATTTGAGTTAATCTTGTCTGAGAGGCTATAACGCCCAAAAGTCCGAAGCCAAGATAAAAGCGCAATAATATCATTGAACACTGACTAAAATAAATTCGTTTAAAAACAGCGACGAAATTGAACGATATTTTCGAGATGTAGTTTTCATTATTTACCACTATACGCTCCGACTTTACGGTTCGTTCATTATGTGATATCGGGAACAAACTACTGTGAAGAAGCTTTTACTTGTTTACAGTCCCAAGTCTTCAATACAAAATCAGAGAGAAGGTGTTGACTTGAAATAATCCCTTGTAAAAGAATTGCAAGTCAGTAAAAAGACGCCGTTTTCTGATTTACAGGGTTTAAAATTAAATAAGATAACGTTTACCTATGCTAGTGTATGTTGGACAATTTCGTCCAAGTGCATATACATTTTCAGTGCAAATTTTTCACTGCATTATATGAAAATTCGCACCAAGCAAATGCCGATGTAATTTTGCTGTCTTGGGTTATTTTTTGGCGATACCCGCGAATAAAGATAGTAACTTACATTGTTGGACATTAGGTTTTATTTTGCACCGTTGAAAGCAGAAAACGTAACAGTGTAAGGGGAACTATGCAGGATCTTTATTTTAACGGGAAGCAGTCTAAAATTTTCTTAACACATAGTTAAATACTTTTGAGAAAATCGTTCTATTATGGGATTTGATAAAAAAAAAGCAGAAAAAAAGACTTATGTAGAATTAGGATTATTAAAATGTTAACACTTCTTTAAACTAAATCCCGCGAAAAACAAATCCTGGGAAGTATGTTTTTCCATCTTAAAAATAAACTTTGAAAACAGAAGGAGTATGAAACATTAAAACGTTCCTTTGATGTAACTTAATACATGCCGTTAAAAGCACGTTTTCAACTCTAGAGAACACAAAGAAAATGAAAATGATGTTTTTGAATCTGTCTAAGTGCGTATGAATGCAAAAAGACAAAGCATAGGTTGGTTTCTTCGGCGAGAGCTGGGTTTAATTGCACCTGTGACATTTCTCGGTGAAACTTAAGAGATGCTGGTTAAAGCAAGAGTTGAGCGAGACGAGATTAACGAAAATAAGAAACAAAGTTGCAAAATTAAATAAATACAACGATTGAGATCTGTAAACTGTCGTAACGCAAGTTTCCTGTCTTGTAGAAAGGAGAACTTAAAAGGAGACCACATCACCAAACCGGCCCACACAAGATAAACATCTCAAATGATGTCACGGTAACTTTATATCGACACATTACGACCGAAAAATAAGGAAGGCTACATTGACAGACACAGGGGCGGCTTGGGGAAGCATATGGTCCGTGCAAAATATGAAATAAAAATCCACATTTAACATCTGGGTTAAAGTGAACACAATGATGATGCAGTTTCGAAACGTGAGGTTTTGAGAACAAACTTTATCACATTCGAGTTTACACTGTAATCTTGGTTCGATTTTGAAATGTTGTAATACTGGTTCGGATTATCAAATTGTTACTTGTGCCCTAGTGTATTGTCTTCGCTTTCTTTGTTTCGTGCCTCTATGAACTGCCGATGCTAGTTAATGGTATCAACCGGTACATTGACGTTCACTAATTGAACACCATTGATAAGCGCCTTCGAGGAAGCCATTACCCGGATCTATAAATTCAGTCATGACCAGATAAAATCATTGAGGAAGCCACTTAATAAAGTGCGCCGATTTAAATATTACCGGAAGGTATCATTTATGTTGCAACTATTAAATTGAATCTCTTCTAGTGAAGAAGATACCAGTGTCCCCGATCAGCTTTTGTCCTCTCTAGACTCATTCTGTGAAGGCCATCGCTTTTTGCTAAGCCGAAAATTTGAAAAAAAAAAAAACAAGGATTTTGTTATAGACTGAGCCACTGGCATGTATCTAAACAGCATGTATCCAAAAATTATTTTTCTTGATTTAAAATTAGAGTAAATGGGGAGGGCTCTCAAGTTTTCAGTTTCAGTTAATATGGATATCAGATTTAGCAATTCGATTGACAAGGGAAAAGATACCAAGGCCATTAAAGAAACTTAAAAGTCGATATAAAGGTTGAATTACACTTCCGATTCGATCAGAGTTGCTTCGATATGTATTTGACCAGAATATCCTCTGCGACGAACCATTCAAGACAGAGACTTTCTGGCGATGCTAGACAAATAGATTTGAAATCGCATAAAGGTTTCTGTCACTGTTCCAAACACACAGGTGCAAAAGCTGGCAAAACTGTTGTTCCAAATAAAGACCAATTCTTCAACTATGTATTACTTATATTTACACTCATATCAGGGGTAAACTTGTAAATTCAAAGCGACATACGCTTACCGCATTATTGTATGCTGGCAGCTATAGGAAAAACAAAGCCATACCGTTTATTGACAGTAAATTGGATTATGTAAATAAGCCGTTCCTTTAGCATTAACACAGGTGTAAGGAATGTGTTGTTTCCAATCAGTCGAGTAAGAATTTAATAAAAAATATCTACGCCTAGGGCACTTCAAAAGAAGACTAACTGCGTTTCTTGTAATTTTAACTTAGGGTTAAACAGACGAATTATTATTCCTTTCATGTCGATATAAACACATCTTTTAAATAATCATTTCAATGTGAAACGAAAACTTCCAAGGGCAAGTTAGGGAGACAAAAATTTATTGGAGTCTCTCGACGAAATCCTGTGGTTTGATCATTCAAATGATATCTCTCCAAGTAATGTTTAACTTGGTACTATAGCTTTTCAGTATTTTGCAAAAATCACATTTGGGGTCATAAAGTACCTTTCCAACTCTTAAGAGTAAAGGGGTTTACATTTGGACTAGAAATATTGTTCTGACCTTTTCACTTGTATATCTGTATGTCCTTACGTTCATACTACAGCCTCTATTAGGAAGCAAAGTATCTCTTTGTATAAACCCAGGCAAAGATATCTCATGAGACTTTATAAAAGGTAATAACTCTGACGAATTATGGAAGTTTGTTGAGATTTAGCTTTTTTCGCCCCTGATGAAGGTTATTTTTCCCCATCCATAGCTATCCAATCAGCCTTGCCTTCAATCTTTAGTTGTTGAGATTTCTGTCGAATAGTCTCAGCTCAAGTCGCAGTCGAAGATACAGTAAATTATCGAATAACACTGATTCAAGTAGGGATCTTGAAAAATTGGGATCACCAACGCTAAACCACTTTCTAAAAATATGAGGTGAGCATAAACTGAAACATGACTGCAATTTAAATTATACGGGTTTCTCTTAAGCTGTTACCATGTGTGCTACCCCAAGTAGGACAGGTTGTTGAGATTTCAGACTCCCATCTATAGCAAGTAGATGAACCGCTCGTTCAAACGTTTAATAGCATTAAAAGTGTTCATGGATTACCTGCAAGACATGTATGGTCACCCGCCCCTATATTGACAGGCAAAACTGCAGATGTTACCAGATACAGAGTACTGTTTATGATTCATAAGAAAATCTTACTTAGTAAGTAGTTATATACTTGATAGATATTTATAACTGCTGAAAGCCCGCGTCTTGTTAATTCATAAGCTTAACTCCAAACCCCACATACAACAAAGACTTAGCTAAAACACCAATACACTAAACATTAACTTATTTTCTTGATATGAACTCTTCACAATGAACACGAATTTGAATTTACTAGGCTTTCTACAAAAAATGTTCCACAAACTAAAATGGAATTAACCTGATAATATGCCACTGTAAGGTTCATAGATGCTTGATAACTAGAACTACTTGTTTTTGCTTTTGAAACATTAAGTCTGAAGTTAGGAAGGCGTGCATACAGAAAAGAACACGGTACTTAGGTCAGCGTAGTAAAACATTTTCTCGGTGAACCCACCGTTCCGTAAGACACGCCTGACACAATAAACCCGTTCCAATAAAAATAACATAAATTTCCTTAAAAGGTGTGTTGAAGTTGATAGTAACTTTATCAATTGTGCACCTTGAATGGTAACCCATACTGTCAAGCGGCCCCCCAAAAGAGCTCAGGACTCTCGACAAAACAGGAACATTTCTAAAAACACAACCTGTGCACCGAAATGAAAACATCCGGCTTTGCAAAGAAAGGGAAACTTTGTTGCAGTTTGTTTTAATTTAAACTATACTTCTCGACGCTATAAACTTCTGGTTCTAACAAAAATGGGCGGAAGTCTGTCGTTCTTTTAGCTTCAAGATTGATACGTTGAAGTGCAACCACGCATTCGACTAAAAGGCTTATTTTGCTCCGCTACGGATGTTTATGATTCCTTTATCGTGAATAGGCGTTTATCATGATCTCATGAAAGCCGCTTTTGAAAACTGGACAGTGGTTCTACATCATCACTACGCAATGAATCATTTTTGTAGAACCATTTTATTACCAAAAACTAATTTTGTACGATGGTAGTTAATGATTTTCTTTATCGTCAGCATGCGCTTATCAGAATGTAATCTTAACCATAAATACTGATGAAAGCCTGTTCTGAAAGCAACACATTTGTTTTATATTATAAATCACCTGTGTACCTATTGCGATAACCAGATATGTAGCCTATCTTCTAGAAAAAGGCTAAAAAGTTAATAAAAACTGTTGAGTAGGAAAATATACGGTTATGGTTCAAATGGAGTTGATTACATTAGGAATTTTACAGCATCATCAAGATATCAAATTGGATGTTTTTGTTATGAAGGATCATTTCCTACACAGGAAAAAAGGTTATTAGTCTAGAACGAAACTTCCTTCTTCTTTTCAGTTATCTTCCAGCAGGTCGTTAAAGCGTTGAATCCCAGAGTCCAAAATGTAAAAGAAGATAATCTAATCCAAAGATGTGGCCATTCAAATGGAACCTCTCCGAGGGTACTATTTTGCGGCGCTATTTTTACGATAGGAGATTAAGAATTTTCCGGATTGAGGTATTTCGATACTGACAGTGTTAAAAAATAATAAAAGATACATCAGTTTATCATAACCTTGATTTCAAACTGCAATATCTCATTTTAAACGGAGCGACTAGAGCTTAAAAACAACCGTTTTATATGGATTAAAGTATTCTGTGGTTAAAACAAAGCCTTCATTAGAATAAGTAGGATAAAAAAAAGGCTACCAGCTTTGAAAATTTGGCTACTGGTTTTAGATTGCTCCAAAGCCCTATGTTTAGTCGTAAATAATTACTTTACGATAGCGATCTTTTAAATACGAGTGATAAAATTAACTGTTTATATTTTACATGTGGAGAACAATGCGGTACTTAGATACCGTCCGGTTCCGCGATGGCCACTGTTTGCAAAAATAAAAGCAGGAGAAAGTAGCTAGGGATGCCTGGAGGGGAGGAAATTTTGGAATCCACATCCGTGGATGATGGATACAATTTCAAAACACCAGGAATGGCTGGCGTTTTCTTTATAGGAAATATCATTTAGAGAAGTTAAAACAGTGGAGATCTCACAGATCCTAGATTGAGCTGTCAGAACAACCTGCTTCTAATGGCTTGTCAGACGTCCAATAAATTATTCATTTCTTTTTCGCTTAATGGAAGGGCACACTTAGCAAGTAAGAGAAGAACATCTCGAATTTCAGAAGTTTATGGCGCTTTCAAAACAGAAAAATATGTAGGTGGACTTTAAGCAACGAAAAATGTGTCCATTTTAAATCGTTTGGTTCAAATCTAACGTCATTCTGAGTTATGAGAAACATTCTTCAATGTCCACGTCAATTTGTCAAATGATTCTTAAGGTTCAACATTCATATCTGATCTTCAACAAGAATTAAGTGAAGAGATAACAATTGCTGTGAAGGGCGCACGAGGAAAGGTAAAACTTGTCACGGCTTGAATATTCGTTTTAGGCGCATTTTCACTTGAACACTGAAACTTCTAACTTACATAGTTTCCAAATCGATGGAAAATAGCCAAAGTTTGTATCAGTTTCCATTTTAGGTGTCAAAAATGGCCAGCTGTGGTGCTCGACAAGTTTATGAGTTAGTCGTTTCACTTGTCTCTTAAAATGATTGGTAATTACGATGCGGTTGAACTTTATTACACATGTGATGGTGCAAAAATATAAAAGTGTGCTTCTTATATAGGACTCCCTTTTTTTCTGGCTGAACTGGAGAAGATAATCCGCAGGAATAACCAGAGGGGACTCGTCAGTTGTACTTTAAAAATTTTGAAATTCTCTTTTATAAAGAGGGCTGTTTTCTTTTCGGTTTTCGGCTCATCTAATTTTTGTAGCAAGAAACCATGTTAAAAAAAAGGGGAATTGTACCAGACTAATCACAACTTCACCCGCCATCCTACATTCAGATACGTTTGTATGACAAGCGGAAACACTGAGATGGAAAACGAAAAGGACATCAAAGTGTACGTATAAAGGAACTTCTTGTTCCATTGGAAAATGTACACTGTTGTCTTGAAAAGCAAAATGTCCAAGAAACAATCTGGCTAACACCTGGATAAGCCAAGGAAGACATGCTATTGTTTAATATGTATTTCGCTGATTGGTTTGACTGTCATGTCGACAACGATAAATTCGAAAAATCAACAAACAGCGCCTTTGTTCGCGCCCGTCTCTCATAACATTATTAGCCTTCTAAATTAGCATCTTTGGGGTAATAGCTCGACGTAAACATTAAAGTGCTACTTTTTTCGTGTCTCGGTTTTATTAGTGGCCGAACAAACAGTCGCTGGGGAAAGAATAGTCGCTGTGTGTTGGGTTTCAAACATAATTTACTCGCAGTCAGTTATTACCAATTTCAAACTTTTCGAGTTTCACCATGGCGCGTTTCATTAAAGCCACTAATGAGTTGAAAAGGCGCGAATCGAAGGTAATTGCATTTGGCGCTCGGCGGTGAGTCTTTCTCCTCAAGGACCCGTGTTTGAGCGGAAGTGGCCTTTTTCGAAAACGCAAAGAAGTGGATTGACATTGTTTCTATGGTGTTTGATTTAACATCTCCTAAGAAAATATAAACCATCTGGATAGCGCTAGCTGACCAATCACAGACTAAGGTTGAAGTTCTAATCTTAATTTAATAATGACATTGTCACGCCACTGAATGAAAATTTGCCTGATCAGTTCTGGGTGACATTTGCTTTTTGACTGTGTGTGCAATTTGATTCCAAGCAGCTATAAAGAGTGCGAGTGCCGTCTTAAGTTCAGACAAACAGACAATACAAAGAAGTGATCGTGAAAGGATAAACCGACCCCGCCGCTGCTGCACAACTGATCCCAGCAACGCAGAATGTTGCCAACCTTCAGCTTCACCCCAGAGCAAGTGGCGTGCGTCTGTGAAGTCCTTCAACAGAGCGGAGATATAGAGCGCCTCGGGAGGTTTCTGTGGTCTCTTCCAGAATGCGAAACAATCCAGAAGAACGAGAGCGTGCTAAAAGCAAAAGCTTTAGTTTCCTTTCACCAGGGAAACTTCCAAGAACTGTATCGTATCCTGGAAAACAATTCGTTTTCACCGAGCTCGCATCCTAAGCTGCAGTCGCTGTGGTTAAAGGCCCATTATATTGAAGCGGAGAAACTCCGCGGTCGACCTCTAGGAGCTGTTGGAAAGTATCGTGTTCGGCGCAAATTTCCTCTACCAAGAACGATCTGGGACGGCGAGGAAACAAGTTACTGTTTCAAAGAGAAATCAAGGAACATATTGAGAGAGTGGTACTCGCACAACCCTTACCCGTCACCTCGGGAAAAGAGAGAACTGGCCGAGGCAACAGGTCTAACTACGACACAAGTTAGCAACTGGTTCAAGAATCGAAGGCAACGAGACCGAGCGGCGGAAGCTAAAATTAGGTAAGCCTTTGCTCGAGAGATATTTGTCATCTATTTATGGCTTACGATCACAAACGTTTACCTTCACCTCAAATCACTTTAGAAAGCTTAGTTTGTCATACAACACTAAATTAGCCAGTCCGAGAAGGCATGTACGACTCCTGACTCTGGGCTTACACTTTTGGACTGTCTGTATATTTTGTTCCTCTCGCAAATTTAAGATTTGTTTAGGATATTTATTGAGCTTCTTGAGGGTCGGAAGTTGATATAGCGACATAAACAGTAACTAGCTGTTCATTTCATGTAAATTAAATTTTCCTTCAAGAAAGGGGATCGTTTTCAGCACACATCAAATATACATATATATCAGTTCATGACAATCTGTGTGCGTGTATATACTGACCACATTATCGATAGCAATACCACGCTTCTTCCTTGATCGACCTTTTTATGCCAAAGAGAAGCGGATACGGGAGTATATTCAACGATTTGGTCTGACCCTGCTCTTGAAGTGATGGAAAAATCATAATGGGCGATGGCTCACGCGAGTCATTCAAATGTTGAAAAGCCGGTCGGCAAGGCAGAGATATACTTCAGTCTGATATTTGCGGCTTAGCCTATCACTAGATATCAAACTAAGTACTAAGTCGCAATAATATTGGGCCTGAAACACTCATTTAATGTCGAGCATTTAATGCAATCAGACGCTGAGGTGTTAAATTTTAGTACTATATAATTATGTCACCCTGAATGGGGAACACTGGGAAACTTTTAGTGAACTGTTCCAAGACAAACTTCTTTTGTTTTGTGCTATTGGTAAAATAAAATTTAGGATTTTGTTTAAAGAAACGTGGACACTTTTGGGATTAGAATGAACAAAGGACGAGAAACAAGTTGACGTTTACACGTCAGAAGTCGCGCATTAGTGAGTGTAAGGGGGTTCGCGCTCGTTTATCATGTCCTAACCGTTGCTTCTGTTGATTGTGAGCAGAGAATCAACTGTGGATATAAGAACCAAGCAGATGCTGAACCCTGAGAAGCAGACAATGCTCGGCGACGTTAAAAAGTGCGGAATTCCCGATTTTTCCCACTGTATGAATGGCGGGCATATCACAGGGTCACACACGCCTGTGCCAGTTAAACTGGAGGTGGACGATCCAACGCTTATGGCCGCGATGTCGCAGGAATCAATGGCGCCTGTATCGGCCACTGAATTTACACATGGACTTCACGAGAATCACATGCTTACCACATTAACAAACTCGCTAGTAGGACTATAGACAGCAACGCGCTTTTCAAAGTTAAAATTACACCTCGATCACGCACACGCCAATCTGTAATTAGTGTGTTTTGAGTTTGCAGCTTATCAATTAAAAACTGGCAAAACGCATCGCCCTTCCTGTCTACTGGCCAAAGCCTTTACAAAACTCCACAGTCCAAGGTATATCTCTTTCGTTTGAGTAAGATATTTAGCATAGAGTGTATATGTACAGCTATATTATCATTAGACTTGACGATAACTTAAATAAGTTTTGCAAAGGAAAAGAGTTCGCTCGACGTACTTCTTGTTACATAATGATGACTTCATTCATTCGCGAAGTTGGCAGAATCGCATAGCTCAAAACGTCACCAGTTTCTGTTTCAACGAATTGAGAACCCCAACAACAACAAAAACACGCAAAATAGCTGCAGTATCTTAAGCAAAATTATGTGTACGGAACAAACGTTTTCTTTTGATTTCATCTTTAAAGTATTTCACCATGTATACTTCCCTATATTATCTTGTAAAGTAATCTCTCACGAGAACGCAGTTGCTTACTCGTTTTCTTGTAAAGGACGCACGGAAACGCTACGTTGTATTCCTGAACACTGAGAATGAAAATAAACATCCAAACAATCCTAAACGCCAGTAAGTTTAGTTTGTTAACTAAGCCAGCACGACCTTAGGTTCTACAAGTCTTCGAATGTCCCGTTAAATATATTCAGTGGTTTCTCGTTTTACACCCGGGCATCTTCTCAAATATCGCCATATCACTTTGAGGAAATTGAAAACCATTAAAGAGATCCCACAATATAGTTAAGTACATTGAGTTCACTCTGCATTGTATATGCGTGAGTCGAGATTTAAGTTTCTCTACCGTTGAAAAAACACTTTAATTTTACACCCTTCAGACGAGCAAAGAAGCCTGTTCATCATCTATCCCAGCGACAGATTCTGTAACTTTGAATTCACAAATACGGACTCGTTCTGTTCGGTTAAGCCCGACGAGTCAAGGATATTCTAATAAAATGTTATTTTTACAATAATACATGATGAGCGGTGCTTAAGAAGGAAATTTGGGCAATAAAAAGATTGGGTTTCCAGTTTATATACATTACGATTTCAGTCAAGGTCCAAGGTGATCGGGTGGATAGGCCTCCGCGCTGCGCGAGATATATGCGAAGATCAACCTTTCGCCCTTTCTTTAGAAACTCAACAAGTGGGAAAAGAAAAGAAAAAAGGGGGGCGAACAAGGGTAATGAGTTTTTTATTGTTCCAACAAAAGACCGACCCTAGAAAAGAAGAGGGACGCTATTCAAATGTAAAGCACGCTCTCCGACCGATGAGACTTTTACAATTTCGTGACTCGGGCGTGTGGGTTTGTGAATACACACACTTTATCAAACGTCAAAATCTCTCGCGACGACAGCAAGTGGCGTTAAGCCAGTAAAAGCGTTGGCGTCCCAGGAGGTTCAAACCACAACGGGCCTTTATCATCATCTCGCGCCCTTTTCTCGATCGAAAATGTTATTTATTTATCCCGTCCATTTCGCACAAAAGCATCATAATTCACATGTATCTAGCGCTTTTGTCTTGCGTTCACGTCTCTTTAAATAAAGCAATTAAAGCACAAAAGATGCATTGTACGCGATGAATAGCGTTTATCGACCAAGCACATGTCAAAACACATGTTAACAGCAGCTACTATTTTGGGTTTTGATGCACGCAAAACAGAGTGAATGGAATTAAAAGCATCGATGCTTACACAGTTGGGTCCCATGTTAAAACTCATCGACCGCGAAGTGAAATGTTTTTACAGCAATGAAGGAAAACACACAGATAGCCAGCATCGAAAATCAAGAAGATAATCGAAGGCACTTGATTGAAAAAGCCCCTGTACCATGTTTCCCATAGGAAGTAATTCTACATATTAATAATATTTTTACCCACACAGAGGACGATTTCTATTTTCTTAAGGAGAAATGGAAACAGAATTAATGCACAAACTGATCTGTAAAGAAAACGTCTGACACACTCTTGGAGTTTAAAACGAGGAAATTTGTTTTCAGGAGACTCGAGGTCTGCGTATTAAATCTCCGGTAACTCGAGGCTTTTAACCAGTCAAGCTTTGTGTATTCAATTGAGTGGTAATAGCGGAAACTCCAAAAAGCCACATGATCATATTTGAAACCCGAGTATCCTTTCCTCCCCCCGCGCAAACAAACAAATGTCCAGAGGCGAGAAGAGACGAGCTATAAAATACATCTGTGGTTCACGAACTGCTCTGCGAGCGCGGAACCGGCTTTCGACAGCAATAACATAAATTAATCCGAGACAGAATGAAAGGAAAACATACATTTGGCTTCCTTGGTCATTTGTTTGCTCACTTTAAATGTTTAATGATTTTTGTTTTAAATAAGAAGACAGTCGGCCCGTTTGCACAGTGCATTCCTCTTACTGATGCAATCAAACAGAGGTTTCCTGGATACCCGCAGGGGAGAGGTCTGAAACTCAGATTTTCCTCAGGGTGTCTGAGTCACTCAAAACCTTTGTCAGATCAACGCGTATTTTTCGTACCGTAAAAATTTCAATATATTTTGATCCCTGACAAGCTGAAATCTTCATACTTGCCGAGATAAAATGGAAAAACCACCGACTTCTATTTCAGACTGATATTACCCTGAATTACGAACCAAATGACCAAATTTGACGTTCTATTTCCTGTATTAAATTCATCTTGAAGCTTTTTCATATGCTTTTTCCTCAGAAAATAACATCCGGTCAAAGACCGAGAATCGATAATAATATCTGTTTATGCACACCAAAAACACTAACAATAGGTCACTGCTAAAAGGAAATAGCCGATGGCAGCCATTAGAGGGAACGTTTTGACGGAGCGGTACAGTCCCAAAGTGCGAGCATAGCCACGTGGAGATAGACAATCTTTCTTTTAAACCTCTATCAGTCTTGCGTCACTTGACTTTATTTTGTATCGGCAAAGGCTACAACGAAAGTTAAAACCGTGAAATTTAAGTTTTGGATATACAGTACACTCTTGAGAGCTAAAACTATGAAACAAATAAAAACAATCTCGAAAGTGCCGCAAGCGCTCGAAGGGTTTTATTTGGTCATATCATACGACGGACTGAAACTAGGCTGTTTAAACCCCTTATTAATTTCAAACCAATGATCTCAAATTTCGGTTTGCGATTATAAAAATAAACGTCACCGCAGGAACTGGAAAGCACTACACCAGTAACAGTGCGATAGAGCTCCGAGATCTATCGGGAGGCACTGTTCTTTAAAAGCTTTAAAAGAAAAAAAAAATTGGGTGAAATGGGTATCAAACAGCAAGATAACATTAATCTTCTTCCAAGTTTGGCTCATCTTAATTTATGAAAACACTTATCCCAAGAAAACGCGATAGCGGAAGCTGTATTTAGGAACTCACTGACCGCGAATAACGGAGTAGATTCTTCTATTTCCACCTGAAGTGGCGGATACCCTCAAGACCACCATAAGGTTTACGCAAACATTAGCGACATTCCGTGAAAAAGCGGGAATCAGTTTAGCTGTCCTTTCCGTACCGTAATAACGAAGTGGCGTTTTTTTGGAATTGCTTGAAAACCAAAAAAAAAAGCTGACTGTTCTCCCATGCTTCGCAAAAGCAGCAGTCATAGAGAGCAGTTCCTCTCACCTTATGTCTTAAAACATATACAAACACGTTTTTTCTAGAAAGGGAAACCAGTTGAACCTAATGCGGTCAATCCAGCAGCTACGGTGACAACTGTTTGAAAACAATAATGGCACTCATGGACCATATCAGTGACGGTGTCTAGTAATATAAACTGTATTGATTCTACAATTTCAGTGTCACTTCTATGTTCTTTACAGACCTGCGACTTCTGACTTGTTAGTCGAATCCAGTCACGTGTAAAGAGGTCAATTAATGTGAATACCAGCCATTTTACCTAAGATTTTGCGGAAAAACAACGGATTGATGAATACTAAGAACCAAGAAACTCGAGCGAAATGGTGAGCCATAGCGAAATCTCCTTCACACTAGGTGCGGGCAGAATTGGCCTAAAATTTGTTTAAAATGTTGCTCACACTTATTCTACGAAAGCAACTTGGCTGAGAACAATAGCGCATGAACGATGCCAACTATTACCTGTAACAGGCATATAAACCACTTAACAACTGAAAGCCAATAAGCTGGCTTAGTAGACAGATTCAGTCGGCAGACCGTGAATAGAGGGCTGGTTCGCCAGTCTTTGTCACTAGTCCTAAGAAATAAATCTTTAACACAAAAGGCCCAATGACGATAGTAACCTAATAACAAAAAACGTAGGGTAAAGTTTTATCACGAACAACGGCGTTGATGTGGTCTTTTACTCTGGCAAAGGATAGGACAAGTAGTTTACAGCCAAAAGTTTACACTTTAAAGATAACAGCAAGGGCAAGTGCTGGATGGAAGTAGCCAATAGAACCAATAAACAAATTTTGAGAACTGACAACTAAATTTCACCTGGTAAAATATTAAAAGCCAGAACAGACAGGTTCATTCCAATAAAAACATGATGAGATTTCCTTGGCAGTATAGTTAAAAGAAGATAACATGTTTGAGTAGCACCTTTATACGATCTGATTCTCGTTGTTGAAGTAAGAAAAGCTAAATTTCCTTTTGGAACTAACATTATCAGTTTCAGTATTACTAAATTCATTTTCGGTTCAGGCAGCCCCTAACAACTTGAATTTCACGGGAAAATGTCCAGGGGGTAATTACGTGAATTCTTGGATCAACTCTAACTGTATGATTATTTTTTATAATAGAAAAATGAGCATCAACGGGAATAAATAAGAAAAGTAATAAATATTATCCAGGAACATAGTCAAAGATCATGATTTCTTTTTGACGTGGAAGTGAAATTTGAGAACTGGTGGATTCAACCTTCAGCAAATAGAATCTAGGTATCTTGTATTTACATTTTATCAGCGATTGCGTTTATTAAACTAAAG